GAAGTAGAGTTTCTGGGACTTGAACTGATGCTTGTATGGGGTTCTGGTGTTGTAGACAGTGACTTAACCTGCTGTGCCACAATGCTGGCCCCAATATGTGTGCCTTTTTTGCTGTTCCTGATTTTTTTTTAAGATTTTTTAATTTGACAGGCAGAGTTAGACAGAGAGAGAGAGAAAGGTCTTCCTTCTGTTGGTTCACCCCCTAAATGGCCGCTATGGCCGGTGCTGCACCAATCTGAAGCCAGGAGCTAGGTGCTTCCTCCTGGTCTCCCATGTGGGTGCAGGGGCCCAAGGACTTGGGCCATCCTCCACTGCCTTTCCGGGCCACAGCAGAGAGCTGGACTGGAAAAGGAGCAACCAGGACTAGAACCTGGCACCCATATGGGATGCTGGCACCGCAGGCTGAGGATTAACCAAGCAAGACAAGGCGCTGGCCCCAAGATTTATTATTTATTTGAGAGGCAGAGTTACAGACAGAGGGAGAGACAGAAAGGTCTTCCATCTGCTGATTCACTTCCCAAATAGTTGCGATGGCTGGAGCTGGGCCCATCTGAAGCCAGGAGCTTCTGCTGGGTCTCCTTTGTGGGTGCAGGGGCCCAGCACTTGGACCATCTTCTACTGTCTTCCCAGGCCATTAGTAGGGAGCTGCATCAGGAGTGGAGCAGCTGGAACTCGAACCAACGCCCATAAGCAATGCTGGCACCACAGGCAGAAGTTTAACCTACTATACTACAGCACCATCCCCTGTTGTTCCTGATTTTTAAAGAGTCTTTCTATATTTTCTTGGGTAGATAGTTTATATATTTAATTTTTATTAATTGAGAGGCAGATCTCCCATCCACTGGTTTCCTTCCGAAGTGCCTGCAATGGCCAAGGCTGAGCCAGGCCAAAGCTGGGAACTGGGAACTCAGCCCAGGCTTCCCACGTGAATAGCTGGGACTCAACTACGTGAACCATCACCTGCTCCCTCCCAGGATGTGCATTAGCAGGAAACTGGAGTTGGGAGCCAGAGCCAGGACTCAAACCCAGGCTCTCTTGATATGCAATGCAGGTGTCCCCACTGGACGCTTACCTGCTAGGCCAAATACCTACCACATAGCACTGTATTCATGACACATTCTAGACAAGAGCTGGCGTGGGTAAAGGAGTGGATATTAATTGAATGCCTAACACATGCCAGAAATTTGACACTGACCATCTTTTCTTCTTCCCCTTTGCAAGAACCATGTTAGGTAGGTGTTACTTATCCTCATTCACAGGTGAGGAAACTGAGGTTGACGTGATGAGGGATTTGCCACGTAGTTAAATACGTGGAAGAAATTGGATAAATGCCCCAGGTTGTCTGACTCCCAAGATTGTGTTTTTTCTACTGAGAGCAGCCTTGTAAAATCATCGAGTTTTCTGTTGAGACTCTATGGAGAATAAGCTTACAGAAACACAGTTGGGGGCAGTAGAAGATAAGATGATTTGATCTGTAGAGAGGATGAGAAGGTGCACCTTTGAGGGTCTGTGGAGAGATTGGGAAAGTTTAGAGTGATATACACACTGGCAAGCTCTCTCTCACATGGAAGCCTTGCTCTGGACCCCTTGTCGAAGAAAGAGGGAGTGTTTGGATGAGCTAAAGAATACTTGGCATGTAGGAAATTTAGGGTGGTATCAACAGAAATATTGTGAATTCATAAGAAAAACCTCTGTGGGAACGAAGATCAAAAGGTGAATTTAACATTGCAGAAAAGAGAGTGATTGGTCTTGGCACTGATTTTTGCCTCTTGCAGCATTTCAAGTTCTCAGTTATTGATGTCAACAAGAGTTTTTGGTTGGTGAAGAGTGGTGCTCTCTGATGAGGAGTACGTGGGCCAGGGGTAGGTGTGGGTGGGCATTTGTAGGAAACTCCCTCCCCTCAGGAAGAACAGTGGGCCTACTCAGGGTGCCACTTTGCAGTCTAGGACAGGGTCCCATTCGTTCCCTGTTATGTGTTTTCTCCGCCTCTCTCAGACCATGGATGGAAAGTTTTAGAAGGTAGAGGCAAATGCCCTCTGTTAGAAGGCTCATGGCTTTCCTTTCTTGGAGCCACAGAGGGAAAAGCCCCAGTGGAGTCTCCTGGGGTCCTGCTTAGAATTGACTGCCAGCCAGGACTGTTCTCAAGCCTTCACTCTTTGTTAATCATTTCTGTTGAACCTTGGTGGCTTTTCTCTCTTGGTGGTGCAAATTTGATATTTATAAGGATGATTTACTATAATTTAGTTCCTACAGTTCTATAAAATTACAGGCCTGTAAAATAGTTCCTCTTCATTCAATCTATGCAACAATAAACATTATCTTTTATTCTTTAGCTTCTTTCAGATCTCCCTTTAGCTCATTTGAATGAAAGCAATTGAGGCATTTTCCATAAAGGAGGAGGTGGGTGAGTCACTCCCTGCAGAGACCCTGCTGCAAGCTTCCCCTTAAATCTTGCACCCGTTCGATATTTAGCTTGTCATTCTGACAGTGCTTTCTCTGCACAGTTCAGCTCTGATGATTTCTGATCATCAGCATTGAGTCTGTCTCTGGAAAGACAAGTTTATAACCTTTTCTTTCCCAAGGCAGATGTCTTATCAAGTAGGGAAGAACACTAACGGAATTCACTTTTTGTGCCTTTTCGCCCTTGTTTTGAAGACTTGCCACTTGAACTTTCTTCGCTCTTGGCCTGCCCCCAGTTTTTGCCCCATGCTTCAGGGAAATAGCAGTGTGTGATGAAATGTTCACTGCCTGAGAGCTTGATTTATGAGTGCTCAACACTTAAAAAGAATTGAGTTTGCCAACTTAGTACTTTTGGTTCCCAAGCTCAGAATACAGAATATGAATAGGCAGGTAGAAAGGCAGCTCTAACCAGAGGATATAGTAAGTTTTGATAAATATTTATGGGAACCTAAAGAGCATCCCCTGGGGGTGGGGGAAACCCGGTCTATAATAGCAGCTGTCAGAGAGGCAGCAGACTATCTCGATGGAAGCTGAGCTGTCTGTGAGAGGTGATGTGAGGACTGACCCCTTTCCCTTGGTCACGCTGTGGTTTTTCTTCACAAGCTCAGATTTTCAGAATTCTGTCAAGGAATGAAGCAGGTAGAGAGAACATTACTCCCAAACTGGTGGTCGGGAGAGGATTACACAAACGCTTACCTCTGGAAACTGGATCTTTAAAGGACTCCGTTTAGGAGATATGGTAAATAGTAATTAGAATTCAGAGAGGAGACTTATTTCTGTTTTGAGAATAAAACCATCCATTAGTTTTCTACAACCCAAACCCTTATTTGTAAAGAATACAAGATTAAAATTTCCCTGATGGACTTGGCCTGGGACAGGACCTCTGTTCCTGAACAATCCTCATCATTGTATTTAGACAGGAAAGAGGGAGCTTTCCCCAGGGGTGACGCACAATTGAACTTGAGCCCTTCCTTAGTGTAGCCCCTTTCCTCCTTACTCCTCCCCTAGATGTTTCTAGCATTGTGGGTTTGGTTTCTAATCTTACTTTGCTGCGCAAGCTGCAAAAATGTCAGGTTTTTCTGACTATTCCTCTGCCTCCTGATTACCCTTTTAAGCAATGCTGATTGCAGGAAATTGCTATGGTGCAAGGCGGGTGTCACAACACACAGTGATTAAAACCCGCATGTGTCATTCAGTGCCTGATTGAAGTAATCATACCCAGGGGAAAAGCAGATGAGGCGTCTGCTAAATATGCAGGGGGGAGGAGGGGCTGCTTCTCATCATCAGGCTTTAAGGATTTCAAGTTAAAGAATCAAAGCTGGTGTGAGTGGGGCGGGGTTTTCAGTCATTTCGCTTCATTCTGAATCCTTAGAGCTTCTGAGCGGGGCCTGAGTCTCTGACCATGATTCTAAGAAAAACAAGTTGCTTTTCCCCGAATGCTTGGTACCCTGTGTACGTGACTATAAAGCAGCAGTTGAGCATATCACGGGGAAAGGTGATGGAATGTAAACAGCACTGACAGGTGAGAACAAATGGGAGAGGCCCGCATAGCACAGACCACCTTTCTTCGATCACTTTTTCCCAAGTGACCAAATTCAAATGACATTTTTATTATTTTAGCTCTGTGTGGCTGTGTGTTCCTAAGCTACTTCAGTTGGTTGTTTTTGAGAAAGTATTAGTCCATTTAAATATGACGGTTTGGGCTAGATAACCTCAAGTTTCTGTCTTATTGTATTTGTGCTACTGTGACGGAATACCTGTGCCTGGATAATTTATAAATAACAGAAATTTCTCATAGTTTTGGGAGCTAGGACTTCAGGGTCAAGGTGCTGGCAGATTTGGCGTCTGATCAGGGCTAGGTCTCTGCTCCAAGATGGCACCTTGTGGTTGCTTTGTTGGGAGGGGGAAACACCTTGTCTTCATGTGGTAGAAGAGAAAAAGATATAGTAAATTTTCTGTAGATATGGAAAATACAGCTAAAATTAAAAAAAGTTTATTTGATTGAAAGGCAGAATGAGAAAGAGACAAAGAGAGAAATCTTCCACTGCTGGTTTAATCTCCAAATCTCCAAATGCCCATAACAGCTAGGCTTAGGCCAGGGGTAGGCCAGGTTGAAACCAGGATCCAGGAACTCCATCTGGGTCTCCCACGTGGGTAGCAGGAACCCAAGCACTTGGACCATCTGCTGCCACCCAGGCACATTAGCAGGAAGTGGGAGGCAGGACTTGATTCCAGGCATCCCAGTATGGGACGTGGGCATCCCAAGCAGCCGCTTAGCCTGCTGTGCCACAATGCCTGCCCCACAAAATATCTGAAGCTTGGTTTCTAAGGGAATCACTGTGAGCAGTCCCCATTCTCTTCCCATCTTCTGCTCTTGTGCTCCCCAAGTGTGGCTAAACATGGAAAGAGAGTGGGCTTGTGGACTGTTACTCCCTGGAAGCTTTGGATCATCAATGTTACATGAACAAAGAACATGAGTCAAATACTGCAATAGGTGTTGAAGGCGTCCACTCAGGAATTCTTCTCTCTGTCTCCCTCAGGTACAGAGCCCTGGTATTTCTATTTAATTAATGGATTTCTGAATTTCAACATAGCCTTTGCTTTGGCGCTCCTGGTTTTGCCACTGACTTCGCTTATGGAATATCTGCTGCAGAGATTTCATGGTGAGTGGCATGAGATGGTAGGATTTTTTGGAGGGAGGAAAAAGTAGCAATGTATACCAAGATGACAAAACGGATTCTGCTTATTTTATTCTCCATTTTCTTCCTGTAGAAATGGTGGCTTGTTAAATTTTAAGTCTGTGTTTGTAACTTACTTGAACTATTGGGATGCTTCAGCGGGTTTATGGAATGAACTTAAAAGATTTATTTTTGTGCAGAAAGTTTTGAAATCCATGCATAATTTTAATGCCATATGTATCAAGTGCATAATGCATTTCCATGAGCTTGTTACAAATTAAACTGACAGAGGTAGCTTCCTATCTCTTCAAGTGAGGAAGTCAGTATGTACATAATCGTGCCAGAAAAAGCCATGTATTCCAGGCTGAGAAGACAGCAAGCCCGTTTGAACCCTGTGCTTGTACAGAAGTGTGTGTTAACCTGGTAGACTGCTGAGGACAACTCGTGCTGAAGGCAGACATTCTTCCAGGAATTGCTAAAACCCAAAATGGGAAAACTGAACCCTACAAGGGTTCTCCACAAATTTAGTGCTGAAGTAAGAGAAGCTTTGAACTTCTTAAGAAGCAAGGTTCTTCTGTGTTTACTGCCTGTAGAAGGTTTGGAGTGTCATTGATTCTTCATGTTCTGTGTACTGCACTGCCTGTGCTTTCTCAAGTTATAGATACACAGTGCCTACAGCTTCTTTTATAGAAAACACATTTGAGCAGAAGTTCACGTGCACTTTGGAAAGATATTTAATTTCCGATTTTTCTGTCTGATTTGGAGGCCATATAATTAATTTCCCCTAGCCCACAATTCTGCTTTTCTGCTATTAATGGTTTATAAAACCTTAGCTGTATTATTAGAATATGAGAACTGTTTTCAACATCATTTTTGTTTTGTTTTAGAACTTTTCTCGGACCATAACTAGAATATCATTATCCTAACAAAATTAACATCATTCCTTAATATCATCTGATATCCATTTGATACTCACATTTCCTAGTTTTTCTGAAAATAGCTTTATATGTTTAGTTTGTTTAAAGCAGGATCTAAACAAGGGTCACACACTGAATTTGCAGATAGGCTTCTTACACTTTTTAGGCAGTCTTCCATCTCACTTCTTCTTTTTTTTTTTTTTTTTTTCTCCAAGAAACCAGCTCATTCATCTTGTATGTATAGTATTCACATTTTTAATTCAGTTGTTCCATGGAGGTGTAACTTTATTATTCCTCCAATCCTTGTATTTCTCAAGGATTACTTTTCCCTTTTTTTGAAAAGCAACCTACTTTCTGACAATAAAAATACCTCATGCTTATGGGAAATTTACAAATAGGAATTTAAGTTAAACAAATATTAAGATGCTGTTTACTGTATGAGTCTAACTTTGGCTTAGCAATGTGTATAATGTACACACATATCCACCTAGTAAGAAAATAAGTGGTGTTGATCTTTCTTTATACTTTCATGTATATTTTATAATAGAAACAATACTTTCTAAAAGAAAAAAAAGTCAAAAATTTAAAGATCTTATGGAGTACAGTGATTTTATACTTTTTTTGGAGGACATTTCAATAATTTTGGTTATATTTTAAAAATTGTTAGGCTTCATAGAATAGAAAGAGGCTTTATAGAAAAAATTTTAAAATATTTATCACACTGGCTCTGTGGCATAGAAGGCTAAGCCTCTGCCTGCAGTGCTGGCTTCCCATATGGGCGGTGGTTGGAGTCCTGGCTGCTCCACTTCTGATCCAGTTCCCTTCTAATGCACCTGGGAAAGCTGCAGAAGATGACCCAAGTACTTGGGCTCCTGCACCCTTGTGGAAGACCCGGAAGAAGCTCCTGGCCCAGCCCCAGCCATTGCAGCCGTTTGGGGAGTAAACCAGTAAATGGAAGACCTGTCTTTCTCCTCTCTTTGTATCTCTGCCTTTCAGAGATACAGAGAGACACACACACAGAGGTATTCATTTTGCTAGTTCACTCTCCAAATGGCTGTGATGGTCCAGTCTGGGCAAGGCCAAAGTCAGGACACAGGAGCTTCATCCAGGTCTCTCACATGGGTGCAGGAGCCCAAGCACTTGAGCCATCTTACGCTGCTTTCCCAGGGGCATTAGCATGGAGCTGGATCAGAAGTGGAGCAACTGGGGCTCGAATTGGTGCTCATATGGGATCCTGGCATTGCAGATGGTGGCCAACCCACTGTATCACAGTGCTGGTCACTGACTTGTTTTATTTTAGTTAAGAAAATTCCAATTTAAATGTACTACCTGGAAAGGCACAACTCCTAAATTACTAAGTAAAGTCTCAGGATAAAATGTTAGAGTAAAAAGTTTAAGAAATAAACTTGTTATTGAAGTTGAAGAATTTTTATCCCTAAGGAATTTCTGCAGAGATACAGATAAGCTAGGAATGCTAATGTGATAGTCCTGATCTGGTCTCAGTTGGCTCACTGTAGACATAGAGGACACCAGGGGGCGCTGTCTGCCCACCTTTTGCCAGCATTTAGTATTCTACTCATTGTCACTAATAAAAACACAGTAGGAGATGCCTTCGCTGTGGGTTGCAGGCTTATCACTCAGAGCTCATGTACCTAACCACAGGAACCTTCCAGCAGGTGCTTGGATCTAGTGCTTGTAACATTCCTCTCATTTTTTCACATGCTTTAAGGACATTTTGGTTCTAATTTTGGGATTCAGTGTGAATGGGTATCTAAGAAGAGGAGAGAAAACCTAATTGATAAACTTCTTTAAGACTATTTTTATGTTACCCTTGAAATGGTCATTTGTGGCTCAGTGAAAACCAATAATGATTTTGAGAACCCAGCTATTTTTTCTTTCCTTTGATCTATGACTATTTGTGTTAAACAGAACGTAAGAATTAAGACCCGAGAATTGGGTTTGTGTTATGTCTTTGGTTAATTTAAGAAATTTTAATGGCATTACTCATTGGGAGGGGGAAGGCTTTCTGGTTTTTTAAACCCATTGTAGAATTTTTAAGTTGTGTTACCCAGTAACCTTTCACTTAGGTTCTGGCTAAATCCAGTGTTGTGCCTCTCTTTAGATTTTGGATCTCTTGGAAGAGCTAGGGAGTATATTCCTTTTTCTACTTGACACTGTTATCCTCTTGGAGAAATTGTGAATTCATGAATTGAAATATTCTAGGTGCCCTAGTGCCTACTCCCAAATTTCAGATCAAGAGAACTTTGAAACTAAAGATGTTGTTTTGTTCTACTATGGTGACAGGTGGATATTTTTCTGTGTCTTGCAGTTCAGAATTTAGGCCACCCATACTGGCTTACCTTGGCTCCAATGTATATTTGGTTTGCAATTTTCTTCATCCAGCCTCACAAAGAGGAGAGGTTTCTTTTCCCCGTTTACCCACTCATTTGTCTCTGTGGCGCTGTGGCTCTTTCTGCACTTCAGGTGAGTTTTAGGGGAAAAGATGTGTGCCTCACTTGTTTCTCTGATTAGATAATTGCTCACAAAACTTAAGGGAAAATTACAGAATGCTTCCACCTGAGATATTTCTGCTATAACATTCAAACTGCTAGGGATCAAGATTATTAAGACTTTTTGTGCTGATTGCCTAGCTGGTTGTCATCTTATTTACTGATTACGTGTTTGCAGTGCTAGTCTTTGTTGGCAGAATCCAGTTGCTACTAATGATATATATATATTTAATTAATTAATTTGGATGAAAGAGTGAGAGAAGGAGAGACAGAGTGAGATCTTCCATCTGCTGGGTCACTCTCCAGATGGCTGCAATGGCCAGAACTGGGCCAGGCTGAAGCCAAGGGCCGGAAGCTCTTCGGGGTCTCCCACATAGGTAGCAGGGGCCAACGTACTTGAGCCATCTTCCACTGGTTTTCCCAGGCTATTATCAGGGAGCTGGTTTGGCAGGGGAGTAGCTGGGACATGAATGGGCACCCACAGGGGATGCTGGCATCACAGGCAGTGGCTCTACCTGCCGCGCCACACTGCCAGCCACAGTGCTGCAGTTTTAAGTCATTGTATGGTCCACTTTGGCAGAAGTAATGGAATATGTGCTCTTCAGTTACTAAATCGGAATAAAACTTGCTCAACAGTTTGGTATTACATCAGGCAGCTAGTCACATGGGATACTTCGTAATCCTGGTTTAAAACCTGTCCAGGTCAATTCCTGGCAGAGCTGACCTTACTCTCTATTTGTGGCCTCAGCCACCTTAGGACTCTTTCTTGCCCTCTGCTACTATTTGCAATTGTTGGGAAAAAAAAATAGGGTGGTAATTTTTTTCACTCTTGATAGATTTATTGAACTGTGATTCACAAATCATGCAGTTCACTTACCTAAAGTGTATAGTTCAGTGGATTGTAGTACATTCACAGCCATCACCACAATTTTAGAACATTCTCATCACTCGGAAGCCCCATATCTTTAACTTTTGTTCCCCCATCCTCTTTCCCATATCGCCCCAGCTCCAGTCACTACCAGTTTACTTTCTTTTTCTGTAGGTGTTCCTGTTCTGGCCATTTTTTATAAATGTATTAATAAAATATGTGATCTTTTGTAACTGGTTTCTTTCACTTAGTGTGATGTTTTCAAGGTTTATCCATGTTAGAGTGATAGTTTTAAAAAGTAATTTTAATTATGAAAGTATGGGGCCTGGTGTCCTGGCATATTGGGTAAAGCCGCCGCCTGCGGCACCGGCATCCCATATGGGCGCTGGTTCTAGTCCCAGTTGCTCCACTTCCAATCCAGCTCTCTTCTATGGCCTGGGAAAGCAGTAGAAGATGGCCCAAGTCCTTGGGCCCCTGCACCCACATGGGAGACCCAGAGGAAGCTCCTGGCTCCTGGCTTTGGATTGGTGCAGCTCTGGCTATTTTGGCCAATTGGGGAATGAACCAGTGGATGGTGGACCTCTCTTTATCTCTCTGTCTCTTATTCTCTCTCTGTGTAACTCTGCCTTTCAAATAAATAAATCTTTTAGAAAGATTATAAAAGTAATTGAACTTCCTGCAGATAATTTAGAAGATGATTTAAAAAATGAGCCCAACTCACTCTGGCCTCAGAATTAGCCCTTAAGGCATTCAGATCTGGCTGAAGAGCCCATGAGAGTATTTTAGGCATGGAAAGCCAAAACGTTGGCAAAAAGCAACAAAAACAAAAACAAAAAAAACCTAAATGAAAGATCTCTGTGAGATCCCAGCGGAAAGAACAGGTCTTCAAAGAAGGAGGTACCTTTCTCTGAAGGGAGGAGAGAACTTCCACTTTGACCATGGCCTTGTCTAAATATCATCAGAGTCAGAGAACTCAAAAGGCTTCCATGGCTTTGGCAACTCATGACAAGAGCCTAGGGTGATTACTGACGCCATAAACAAGAGTGTCAATTTGTTAAGTCAACAACAGGAGTCACTGTGCACTTACTCCTCATGTAGGATCTCTGTCCTTAATGTGTTGTACAATGTGAATTAATGCTATAACTAGTACTCAAACAGTATTTTACACTTTGTGTTTCTGTGTGGGTGCAAACTGTTGAAATCTTTACTTAATATATACTAAATTGATCTTCTGTATATAAAGAGAATTGAAAATGAATCTTGATGTGAATGGAATGGGAGAGGGAGCGGGAGATGGGATGGTTGCGGGTGGGAGGGAAGTTATGGGGGGGGGAAGCCATTGTAATCCATAAACTGTACTTTGTAAATTTATATTTACTAAATAAAAGTTAAAAAAAATGAGCCCAACTACCCTAACAAAAATACCTTCTGACATTTTTGCATGTACCATGCATCAAGGTTTTTTATGGTTATACCAAGTGTGCATATAACTTTTATTGCTTTTAATTTACTGCTGTATGATGATACTCTCCATGTTGCCATATTCATGACCATCATCTTAATAGCATTGTAATGCTCTACTGAATTGGATGTAATATATAATATATTAAGTTGGTTATATGTAATGATTAGATATAATTCATGTTAGAATTTAGGTTGCCTATTTACTCATTATAAATATTATTAGGATAGATATTTTCATGTAGATATTTGGATTATTTCCTGAGGACAGATTCAAAATAGGAAAAAGGCCCCAACATATTTATCACATATTCCAAAATTGGTTTCCAAAAGTAGTTCCTATCTAGGAGGGAAGGAAAGAAATCTGAGAGGATACTTGAAGGCAGCAGGATTCCTGCCTGTGTGCATACATTGTAACAGTCATCTGCTGTGAGAAGTTGTTTAGCAGAAAATCGGCAGCATGTTCTTGATGTTGGATGAGAAGAATTCTTGTTTCTTTGGTCAAGAGACATGTTATTGATACTGCACACTTCAGTGAAAACTCGGTGAGGATTACTGTTCATATCAAAACAAATCAAATTCTTCATACATCAAAGAAAACTACCAAAAAGCATTTTTGTTTAAATATTATAAAAACGTTAATAGGACTTCAAGCCCTAGCAAAATATCCAGATAGTTTTCCTGTGAAGCTAGTGAGATTTCACTCTTGGCAAGCCCTCTGGCTGGGCCCACCCACAGAGAGTGTTAAGGGAGCTGGCTTTGATCTTAGAGTTTGGAGTGTTTGCAAATGCCCAGACCCTTCATAAAACCTCTTTTTCTGCTTCCTCTGCTCTTGGTGTTTCTGTGATGTCTTGTGATTATGTATATTGTGCAAGGTATATCTTCATGTATCAACACAGTTTTCTTTCCTTCTAGAAATGTTACCACTTTGTTTTTCAACGATACCGCCTAGAGCATTACACTGTGACATCCAATTGGCTGGCGTTGGGAACAGTTTTCCTGTTTGGGCTCTTGTCTTTTTCTCGTTCTGTGGCACTGTTCAGAGGTAGATGTGCACTTCACTTAGTTTTACTTGAGGCATGATTGTTCAGTATATACGTGACTTATAAAGAGATTTTTCCTAAAAGGAGAATATATAGATTGACCATTATAGTGGGATGTGACTTCTGTGCCTTGGGATTGAAGAGAAAATTAAGAATTACTTTTCGTTTGAATAATTATACATTGTTTTCTCTGTTCTTGGGATTGTCTTTTTCCTGTTAATGATTTCTGATGAATTAAAGAAGCCTTAAACTTAAGTTACAAATATGGAGCTAAAGTCTCAATGATTCTATTCTTATAATCATTGTTGGGACCCAGAATATTCAAACATGCTTAAAGAACATGACATTAAAAAGGTGAAAGAATGTAGAGAAGGGCAAGAAAGTCAATTATTTTTGGCACAATTCGGTCTCTGTTGCAGCTGCACTAGAGAGCCGGCTTCCTGCGAGTGTTGCCATCTCTCTCCCCACTCTTTAAATTTCACGTGGAGTAGAGTGGAATATTTGCAAGCATTGTGGTTAAATGTCAGGATCACGTTACTCATTTGCTGTCATTGGCTTCTCCTTTCCAGGCTATCATGGACCCCTTGATTTGTATCCAGAATTTTACCGAATTGCTACCGACCCAGCCATCCACACCGTCCCGGAGGGCAGACCCGTGAATGTCTGTGTGGGGAAAGAGTGGCATCGGTTTCCTAGCAGCTTCCTGCTGCCTGATAAGTAAGATGTTCCATAATTTCCATAGTTTTACATCAAGGAGTGAAATTTGTAATTTCATGGGTGTCTTTTCCACTTTTGTCTCATTTTAGAATTTTTCATGGAAAGTTATTGAATTACGCACCATTTCAGGGAGGAGGAAGATCTGTGTGCACCTGTGCCCTGTGGTGTTTTTTAATTTTTATTGGTTTTTTAAATTTTTTTTGCCAGGGCAGGGGGGGGCCAGGGGGGGGGGGGGGGGGCCCGGGGGGGAAGGTTTTTCCTTTTCCCGGTTGGTTTCCCCCCTCCCAATGCTTGCCCCGGCCCCGCCCGCTGCGGCCCGGCGCACCGCGCTGATCCGATGGCAGGAGCCAGGACCCAGGTGCTTTTCCTGGTCTTCCATGGGGTGCAGGGCTCAAGCACCTGGGCCATCCTCACTGCACTCCCTGGCCACAGCAGAGAGCTGGCCTGGAAGAGGGGCAACTGGGACAGAATCCAGAGCGCCCGACCGGGACTAGAACCCGGTGTGCCGGCGCCGCTAGGCGGAGGATTAGCCTAGTGAGCCGCGGCGCCGGCCGGCTTTGGGTTTTAGGCTTCTGCTCGTGGCTCTTCCTGAGGATATATATTTATAATTCTGTAATTATTTGATATTAATCACCTTCTAAAGTGACCTGGAAATTGTGGCTAGAAGATTATTTTTTTTTGGACAGGCAGAGTTAGTGAGAGAGAGAGAGAGAAAGGTCTTCCTTCCGTTGGTTCACCCCCTAAATGGTTGCTACGGCTGGCGTGCTGCGCCGATCCGAAGCCAGGAGCCAGGTGCTTCTCCTGGTCTCCCATGCGGGTGCAGGGCCCAAGCACTTGGGCCATCCTCTACTGCCCTCCTGGGCCACAGCAGAGAGCTGGCCTGGAAGAGGGGCAACCGGGACAGAATCCGGCGCCCCGACCAGGACTAGAACCCGGGGTGCTGGCACCGCAGGCGGAGGATTAGCCTAGTGAGCTGCGGCACCAGCTGGAAGATTGTTTTTAGAGAAGTATTTTTTCTCATCTGCCAGTGGTGAAATTTCTCCGGTGTAGTGATGCTGGGGAAAGCTATGGGTAAGATCTGTGTACCAGTTTTCTTAATGTTGTCTGTTAGTTGTGATAGCATATGCCCTAGACTTCCTTTTGTGTGTGTGTGTGTGTGTGTGTTTTGCCAAATTTAGCCACTGAAGGGTCCTAATTAGGTAAAAGGGAAATTTGGTTAAGATGAATCAGATGCTGCATTTCAGAACTGGCTTCGGTGGCCTACCTCTACTTGGTGGTAATTTCTTGTGCTTAATAAAGCCCTATATCAGGGCTGGCCCTGTGGTGTAGTAGGTTAAGCTGCCGTCTACAGCACTGACATCCTACATGGCCACTGGTTCAAATCCCGGCTGCTCCACTTCCAATCTAGCTCCCTGCTAATGGCCTGGGAAAACAGCAGAAAGTTGTCCAAGGGCCTGGGCCCCTGCACCCATGTGGGAGACCCAGAAGAAGCTCCTGACTTTGGCCTGGCCAAGCCCCAGCTGTTGTGGCCATTTCGGGAGTGAACCAGTGGATGGAAGATCAATCTTCCTCTCTCTCCCTGTAACTCCGCCTTTCAAATAAATAAATAATCTTAAAAAAAAAAAAAAAGCCCTGTCTCATTAATGATCACTTTTTTTAAGATTTATTTTTATTTGAAAGGCGGAGCAGCAGATGGAGAGGGAGACACACACACACACACACATCTTCCATCTGCTGGTTCACTCCCCAAATGACCCAGCTCCCACTGAGTCAGGCCAAAGCCAGCCTCCAGGAACTCTATCTTGGTCTCCCACATGGGTGGCAGGGGCCCAAGTACTGTCTCCATCTATTGTCATCTCCTGTCTTCTTGGGTACATTAGCAGGTAGCTGGATTGGAAGCAGAGCAGCCAGGACTCGAATTGACATTCTGATATGGGATGCTGGCATCCCAAGTGGCAGCTTCACCTGCTGCACCACCATGCCTTCCCCATTAATGATTAAACTGAAGCTTGTTTTTAATGTTGACTTTGGCCTTTGATTTTTACATTTGAAATAGTTTCCTAGGTTAAGAATTACTCAGGAATAAACTACTTCTCCCATAGGGTGTTTTTAGGGCCACATGTTAACATTTTACTCCTTTTCTGAATACCTGATGAGTTTTCTTTAATTTTTCACAACTCCTTTTTATCTCCTGATAGTTGGTCATAAACTTTGAGGTTTCTCTGGTGGTTTGATGACATGAAACCGTTTGGTTGCAAGCTTCCCTGCCAAGAATTGGTAAAATGGGTTGAGAAACCTCTAGTTGTAAATTTCTCAATGATTTTGGACTGAATTATGAACTCTGCCTCCGTGCTCCCTGGTTAAGGTTTTTGCAGAAATATTTTTCTTCCAGTGAAATGTTTTTCACATGATATGTGGTTTGTTTGTCTCAAGTCCATTTAGCAATAAGATCCCCTTGTGTTTTTCTTACGCTCCTCATTTGTGTTTCTGACAGTTGGCAGCTTCAGTTCATTCCATCGGAGTTCAGAGGCCAGCTACCGAAACCTTTTGTAGAGGGACCATTGGCCACCCGGCTTGTTCCTACTGACATGAATGACCAAAACCTTGAAGAGCCATCCAGATATGTAAGGGTTACATTCTCTTCTTGGTTCTTTGAACAGAATTCTACCCCTGAAATATATGGGCATGTGTGTATGTGTGTATGTGTAAAATAACAGAGCACTGACAAAATGAGAATTGCTTAGAAGGTGATTTCTTAAGGGGGCAAGATAGAACAACTTTTGTTGAGAAATAGTGAACAGTGCTTCTATTATTCTCAAGTGACCTCTATCCTTATTTTTTATGCGAAATACATAATTCAATATCACTTCCAAGCTCTATTTTTAAGAAATTTTTGGTGCCCAAATAAACTTTTTTAATTTCATTTTCCGTGTACTTTTTAAATAATTTATTTTATTTGAGAGGCAGAGTTACAGAGAGAGAGAGAGAGAGAGAGATAGGAAGGAAGAGACAGAGAAGTCTTTCATTTGCTGGTTCACTCCCCAAATGGCCACAATGTCCAGGGCTGGGCCAGGCCAAAGTCAAGAGCTTCTTCCAGGTCTCCCACATGGGTGCAGGGTCCAAGAACTTGGGCCATCCTCCACTGCTTTCCTAGGCAGGGAACTGGATTGGAAATGGTGTAGCCATTGCCCATATGGGATGCCAGTGTGGCAGGCAGCAGCCTTACCTACTGTGCCACAACACCTGGCCCTGTATTTCCAAGCTGTTGGTAGGCTAGAAACTCTCTCTTTTTTTTTTTTTTTGACAGGCAGAGTGTACAGTGAGAGAGAGAGACAGAGAAAGGTCTTCCTTTGCCATTGGTTCACCCTCCAGTGGCCGCCGCCGCCAGTGTGCTATGGCCGGCGCACCGTGCTGATCTGAAGCCAGGAGCCAGGTGCTTCTCCTGGTCTCCCATACAGGTGCAGGGCCCAAGGACTTGGGCCATCCTCCACTGCACTCCCGGGCCACAGCAGAGAGCTGGCCTGGAAGAGGGGCAACCGGGACAGAATCCAGTGCCCCGACCGGGACTAGAACCTGGTGTGCCGGCGCCGCAAGGCGGAGGATTAGCCTAATGAGCCGTGGCGCTGGCCTAGAAACTTTATTCTGATAGAACTTGAACCATCATTCTGAAACTGTTAATGTTCCTTGGCCCATTAAAATAGTTGATGGGGAAATAACTTTTTTTAAATCTTTATTTATTTATTTTTTTGAAAGGCAGAGTTACAGAGAAGCAGAAGCAGAGAGAGAGAGAGAGGTCTTCCATCCGATGGTTCACTCCCCAGATGGCCACAATGGCCTGAGCTGTGCCGATCCAAAGCCAGGATCCAGGAGCTTCTTCTGGGTCTCCCACATGGGTGCAGGGGCCCAGGGACTTGGTCCATCTTTTACTGTTTTCCCAGGCCATAGCAGAGAGCTGGATCAGAAGTGGAGCAGCTGGGACTTGAACCAGCGCCCATATGGGATGCTGGTGCTGCAGGCGGCAACCTTACCCGCTGTGCCACAGCGTCAGCCTCTATGGAGAACTTTCAAGTAACCGGGTAGACCTTTGCCCTAGTTCTTACTACATTCTGATTTTGGCACATGAACAATCAGGAGGACTCTTTCCATAGTGAGTGCCATGGAGTAATCTCTCAGTGCCATGATCCTCTGCCTACTTGTCTATGTACTCTGAGATCCCAAGGGATTTTATTTTGGTTCTTTTGAAAGTTGACACTTTGGACATTTAAGACCTGTAAAATCTTTGATCATGAAAGAGGGGGGAGCAATAAAAATAATGTTCCTCTTGGTTCACAGAGACAATAAAAGATCACTTTATAAAATTATTAGAAAGCACTTTTTTTGGCATCTGTCTGTTAAAAGTAATATTTAGCAATTTAGATGTCACACATGTTTAAGAGATGTTCTTCTGCTGTATGCTTAAAATGTAAGATAATGAGACTTTGAAAGCATACCTGCAGCCATATTTGACAATTTGTGCCCCATACTGGGGCTAGTTAGACCTCCACAGAGATCCTATGGGCTTATGAGTGAGAGTCTTGCGTGTGGGCTTTAGCTGTAAGCTGTTAAAATGGACATCTTAAAACTCATCGTTGTCCTGGCCCCTGTGGTACTCGTTTGCAGTGTGTGGCTTATATTACAGCTTCATTCGTTTAACTGCACACCCCAGGCAGGGTAAACTGTTACTGGTTGTTTTTATCTTAGTTGAAGATACCCTCTTGAGCACAGGTTTTCATGTACAAGGAATTACCATGTGGATACTGGGTAGCCCCGAGGGTGGGGGAATACACCATGATAAGGGGATGATATAATTCAGAGTGGTGCTATCAGAACCATGCCTTAGGAAGAGGTAGCAAGGGCTGGTAAAAAATGAACATGGACTTTGGAGTTAAGTGAGCCAGCCTGGGTTCAAATCTTTGCTCTGTTGCTTACCCTGATGATCTTGGACAAATTAATTAACTTTTCTATTTAACTAATTTTAGATTCTACCTGTAAAACAGGAATAGTAATACCTACTTGGGAACTAATGAGACTTGATATCATATTGCTGTCATATTTAGCATAGTGGTGTGTGGACTGGTATGTAGACTTTGCTATAAATATTCTTAATCTGACAAAGGAACCCTTAAGGGAATTTATAGTGTATTTGTGTCTGTCTCTTTCTTTACTTTTTTTTTTTTTTCTAATTGAGAAGCAGAGAGAAAGAGGGAGCCAGCACTCCCCCATCTGCTGGTTCACTCCCCAGATGCCCACCAGAGCCAGGACAGGAAACTCTGGATCTCCCGTGTGGGTGGCTGGAATCCAATCTGAGTCATTAACACTGCTTCTGATGCTATGCGTTAGTACCTGGAAGCTGGAGTTGGGAGCCAGAGCCAGATATCGAGCCCAGGTGCTCCGATGTGGGTGTCTGAACTGGAGACCAAAATGCCTGCTGTGTCCCAGTCTGTTCAGACTTGTTCACTGCCTTTTCCACCCCAGTGACTTTGCTTATGTTGATGACTATTCCTAGACTACCATTGTCTCACTTTTCATAGTATCAAAATTCTTTTCTCTGTAGCCACCTCTCTAAGTCCTTATTGAACAATCCTTGCTGTTCATGCCTTAACTATTTTTTTCTTTTTTTATTATTATTTTTTTGACAGGCAGAGTGGACAGTGAGAGAGAGAGACAGAGAGGAAGGTCTTCCTTTTGCCGTTGGTTCACCCTGCAATGGCCACCGTGGCCGGCGTGCTGCGGCCGGCGCACCGCGCTGATCCAATGGCAGGAGCCAGGTGCTTCTCCTGGTCTCCCATGGGGTGCACTCCCTGGCCACAGCAGAGAGCTGGCCTGGAAGAGGGGCAACCAGGACAGAATCCAGCGCCCTGACCGGGACTAGAACCCGGTGTGCTGGTGCCGCTAGGCGGAGGATTAGCCTAGTGAGCTGCGGTGCCGGCCACTATTTTTCTTATAGAGTTTAATTAGCCATTTGATTTTTCTTTTTCTCTCTCTCTTTCTCTCTCTCTCTTTCTTTCTTTCTTTCTGTAATATATATATTTTTTGAACAGGCAGAGTTAGCGAGAGAGAGAGAGAGAAAGGTCTTCCTTTTTCCGTTGGTTCATGCCCCAGATGGCTGCTATGGCCAGCGTGCTGTGCCGATCCGAAGCCAGGAGCCAGGTGCTTCCTCTTTTCTCCAGTGAGAACTGGACTGGAAGAGGAGCAACCAGGACAGAATCCAGCGCACCAACCGGGACTAGAACCTGGGGCACCGGCGCCGCAGGCAGAGGATTAGCCTGGTGAGCCGCAGTGCCAACCTGATTTTTCTTTAAGATATTTTTATTTATTTATTTTAAAGATTTGTTTGTTTATTTGAAATTCAGAGTTACAGAGAGAGGGAGAGACAGGGAGAGAGAGATCTTCTGTCCACTTGTTAACTCCCCAGATAGCTGCAACGCCTAGGGCTGAGCTAGGCCGGAGCCAGGAGCCAGGAGCTTCATCTGGGTCTCCCATGTGGGTGCAGGGACCCAAAGACTTGGGCCATCTTCCACTGCTTTTCCCAAGCTATTAGCAGGGAGCTAGATTGGAAGTAGAGAGGGCAGGACTTGAACTGGCACCCATATAGGATGTTGGTACAGCAGGCAGCAGCTTTTCCCGCTACACCATAACACCAGCCCCACGGTATTTTTATTAGTCAGATAGTATATATACATTGTAAAGATTAACAGATGAAAGCACACCCATAATCCCATCATCAAGATTAACCATTTTATTTTGATGTCTTGGGTTGTTTAAATATTTTTTTTTTTTTAAGATTTATTTATTTGGAAGGCAGAATGGAGAGTGAGAGAGTGATAAAATATGATCTTGCATCTACTGGTTCACTTCCCAAATGGCCACAACATCTAGGGCTGGGTTAGGCTGAAGCCAAGAGACAAGAACTACACTTGGGTCTCCTACATAGATGGCAGGGGCCCAACCACTCGGCCATCTTCTGCACATTGGCAGGGAGCTAGATTGGAAGCAGAGCAGCCAGGACTTGAACAGGCGCTTCAATACGGGCTGCTGGTGTTACAACAGTGACTTTTGGCTTAGCCTGCTGTGCCACAGTGCCAGCCCCTATTAAAATCTTTCTTACATGTGTGTCATACTTTCCCCAACAGATGTGTGGATGATGTGAAGGGTATGACTACACCTTTGTTTCTTTTGTATTCACTGTAGCACCTAGGATAGAGACACCATGTACCTTGTGGTTGGCCTTTAGAGTAGTCAATCCTTATCTGTGGGTAGTGACTTACATGACTCCCAAAGGATGCCTGGAACTAGATAGCACCAAATCCTGCATATGCCATGATTTTTCTTATATGTATACAGCTATGATTAGGTTTAATTTGTAAATTAGGCACAATAGGAGATTAGATAGAACTAATAATAAATAAATAGAGCAATATAATAATAATAATAATAAATAGAGCAACTATAACAATATATTGTAATAAATATATGAATATGTACATTCTCCTCATAATATGCTGTAATGTAGATTGTAGCAACATCAGCATATAATTTTTTTCTTTGCTCATTAAGTTGGGAACTCCTACATTTCATTTAAAGG